ATGTATGCATTTTAACTTTAAGTTACAATATACCTTTAAATAAAGTTTGAAAAGTTTTAAAGTTAAATCCACAGTCCATTGGTTCTGGAACCATTAATTCAAGGTTTTACTGTATATAGTAAGAGGAGCAGACCAAATGTGACAACAATATTCAATACATGAGCGAATGATAGTTATAAATATGTAAGACAGGTTCTGGTAAGAAAAATTGTCTTGCACAACACAGTGAACCAACTTTCCTAGCAGCAGATCTTTCTACTTCATGTCAGCAGAAAATATGGGCCAGAGAAGTCGCAAGGAGTCACTTTCCTGAAGGTAAGTAGTTGTTGAATTTTTTTTTTTTTCTCTTATTTGTTTTTATATATTTTTTTAATTATTTTTTTTATAAATTATTTGTATTTATTTACTTTAAATAATAAATGGTTTTGATTTAACTTTTGCCTTTTAAATTTATAAAATTTTTTATGGTCATGTATGTTGTCTTGGAAAAGAAGTATATATTTTAGGAAAGGAGATATTTGAAAAAAATCTAGGGTGCAGATTTACATTTTGGCAAGATTTGATAGTGGCACTCTCAAGAGTTTTCTAAGTAATTCATTTTCTATGTATAACTAATGCATTTGATAAATTATTATGTATAAGATTCTTTTTGTGTTCATGGATATGTTTTTTTTAAATTCCTGCAAGTTTCCCCCCAATATATTGTAAGGAACAGTTGTGAGATTTATATAAATTATTGTGATGGATATTTTTGGTTCTGATCATATCCATAATTGTTTTGGGTGTGGTTGTAAATATTTCGATATTTTTAAGATTGGATAAGTTAACATTGTGGATGAAATAACAAGGATATTGGAGATTTTTGAGAGTGTTTGCTATATAGTTTTTCTTCAGGTAAGTATTGGGAACTGCAAATTCTTAGTGCTATTAAATAAAATCCTATAATTATTTCAGATTTTATTCTGTTGCAGTGGTGAGATTAATAATTTAGGAAGTCATTCTTGTTGATAGATTTTCTGTAAACTTTTAACTGAAGGTCATTATTGGTTCTATGTAGTATGATATCTAGGAAGAGTAAAGTGTTTCAATTTCAAAAGTAAAATCTATTGTGGGTTCATTACTATTAAGTTTGTTTACATGGTTGAGTAAAATTGTGTCCTGTGGATATATTGTAGTATCATCTATATATCTAAAATACGATGAATCTTATGATAAAACATTTTTGAAAAGACCACTTTCTAGAAATTTTAAAAATAGACAAGCTAAAATGCCACTAAGTGGGGAACCCATTGGCAAGACAAATTCTTGTTTATAAAAATTATCAAAAAAAATTTTTGTTTAGTGATTAATTGGCAAATTTTTATGGGCTTTCAGCCACATCACATTGAAACGGGTTTGGTATAGTGATTTTCCAAGCATAGCTTAAAATGTGGCACTAGGCCAAAAGTATGGGGCACCCAGTAAGGATCACTCACTACTCAGTCATAATTGTTCTAGCAAGACAAACTTGCTAACCATTACACTGCCTTGAGGTTCAGTATATTCACATATGCACAAATAGCCTTGGGAAAAAATGTGAATTCGTTTCTTCTCCCCTTAGCTATGGGTTAATTCATAAGACCTGTATCACTAAACTATTTTTTTTATCTCCAAAAGAAAATTCTTGTAAACTAAACATATTTTCTGGCTTTAAATAAGCTGCAAAAAGTTAAGCCTTAGAAAACAAATCAACTAAACAATATTTTTACCATCTTATGCGGAGGAAGAGGTCATTTTATTTTTGTTTTTGCTAAATGTGTTTTTAGTAAATTTAGGCATTTTTATAGGAACATATGTATATAAAGATTTTATATCTAAACTAGATGTATGTCTTTTATAAGGATAAAATAAGAATTTTGTGGTGAAATATTTATTCTTTTTGTTTCATATATGCTTAGGGAACAACAATTTATATAAAGGTTTTATTGAATTCATCTGACAAGGTTGGTTGACTTTTATTGTTTTTCCAGTGATAGTATGAAGTGTTCTATATCTTGCTTGCAGTCAATACCAGTGTTGCTGATGGGTCTTTAATGTAGTCAGTCACCAGGACCTACGGTTGGTGATTTGGGGAAAATTAATGGATCACAATTAACATTTAATAAATTGTGGGCTGTTTTGCTTTTTTGCCATTGTCCCAAAAAAACAATTCAAATCCTGCCGAATCACTTAAATTGGCAGAACAAGTTTTTTTCTTTTTTTTTCTTTTTGTAAATTAGTGTTATACTGGAACATACTTATTCTATACTTATTCTAGACTCTCCCACCTATAATAAGTAGTAGTAGTAGCAGTCACCACTGAGCTCAGTGAGTTGGTGAGTCAGTCGATGTCGGACATTAAAGTATCGACCACGCCAACTAGATTGCTGTGTCATTAACTATTATAACAAGTTTCTAACGTTTTGTACATCGAACCTTTTTAGGACCGACTTAGTGAAATACAAGCCTCCACTGTGAAACTACTCTACAACAATTAGTAAATTCAAAATAAAAACAGTATTTATACTTAATCAATTCAATTAAGAAACTATATTTTTTGGAGAATTATGAATTTATTTTTTTTCTTTTTTGCAATTAAAACAAACAATATTTAAAACCAGGGTCAACAAACTTTGATAACATTGATGTCTATTACATGTTACCCACACATCCCATTGTCCAATAAAAGAGTGAAAGGAGAAACTAGTAAAAAGTATTTGAAAGAATAACATCAAAGGATTAATGCTGTGTTTAAAATTACAAAAAATATTGGCCTCCCTACAGTCTCTACCAACCCATGGAAAATTTTAGTCTAAAGACATTTTTTGAGGTTTTTTTTTTTTTTTTTAAATGTTATTTGAACAATGAACTAAATGTTAAATACAAATGTCTTGTTTGTTATCATACTGTTATGAAGCAAAATGTCTTAACAACAAAAATATAAAATGTTTAAAAAAAAAAAAAAATCTATCTACTAATTACTATCAATACCTCATTCATTTGACAAATGATTCGCATTCAGTTACAGAAAGAACATGTTAGTTATATCTTAAATTAAATTGATGTCATCATTTACTTAGAAAAAGGAATTTGTTTTTTGTTGATACTATGTCATAATTGTTATGGGTTGATTTTTTTTTTTTTTTTTTTTTTTAGAAATGTATTGCTTTTCATGGGGAAACTTTTAAACAAACATGGATAAATGTACCTACAATATGATAGCGTGTCAACAGGATGGTTTTTCTTGTGACACCATTTTTTTTTTTTTTTTTTTTAACTACCTTCATTGTTTGGCAATGTTTGCTTAAAATAGTAACAAAGCCTAAACATAAATTTTACTTAATGTTTATATAAGTTATACACAGAACTCCTTTAAGAATTGAAATCTTTTTTTTTTTTTTTTTTTTTTTTTGTAAAACAGGACCTCCAATGACCAAAAATCTACTTTGAATCATAAAATAAAAAAATGCAATAAAACTAACACATTTAATTAGAAAAGCTTTCAGTTGCTTTTATAAATAAGATATATTAAGGAGATCATTGTTTTAAGATCCATAACGAGGTAAGCTGGTCTTTTTCTTGCATAGTTTAATCTAACGATACTAACTCTTTAACTAAACCTTACCACTTATATTAGCATTTCTAACAACAAAAAATTATTCATTATTCTTACTATCAAATAAATCTTTAAGTCTACATTTACCTTATACTGTTAATCAAACAAAATTCCATAAAAAAAAAATCCGATACATGTATGTACATTCATGCATCCACATGTAAATGTAATAACTGTACTCGCACACACATGCGTGGACACATACATAAATTCTATCCCCATTTACATTAATTTACTTTTATGAAACCAGTCATTGCAAAATTAACTTGTACTATTTATTTGAAGTTCGTTCCCAGTTTTGTGATCAATCTATTGAAATAATTCCATGGCCTAATGTAAAAAAAAAAAAAAATAAATATATATATATATATATATATATATATATATATATATATATAAATAAATAACTAAAAAATATAAATTATATATATAATAAAAAAGGCTTAAACACTAATATTCCATGGTCATAATTTATTCCAATGGAATAAATTATGACCATGGAATATTAGTGTTTAAGCCTTTTTATTATATCCTTACTCTGTCCTGGACATTGAGTTCTACCTGGATTCTATCCTCTTGGAATTATTTTTTTTATACAAAATATATATGTATGTGTATATTTACCACTAATATTATCTATCTATCTAATATATATATATATATATATACAGGAAAAGACAAAATTTATAAGGTATTTTTAAAAGAAAAAGCTAAAAAAAAAAAATAAACGGTTTCATCCCAGGACTTATCAAGTTTATTTTTCTGGGAATAGAAAATTTTAAAAAGAGTGTAAATTAATTTGAATTAACGAATGGAATGGAAGAGAAAAAAAAATTGAATTTCAAGAAACTAGAGTCCAATAACATTTAGACCCAGTAAACATTCCCTCAGTTTACAAAGGGAAGGCTCATGGGATCTGATATACAAGGACTCTAGAAACTTGAGGTGAAATGTGGAGTGGGACCTAGATAAAATCAAAAAACGGTCCACATTAAAATTAACCACACACTTCCTACAATTTATTGCATGCTGAAACTAAAATAAAACCGTCAAAGAGTTTTCATTTTTAAGAATTCATTTTAAACCTTAGGTATTGTGTTTCTTTGGAGGTACCTATTTTTGTGTGTCAGAGATGCAGGACATGCACCTATCAGCATCTCTGAAATACACGTATATTTAAAGTAAAATACACATGCATTTAGAGTGATAAAATAATTTAAAAAGTGAAATTAATGTTGTTCACACAAGAAAGTGGTGAAATCAACATCAACTGAAAACTTTGTTTTCTTCTACAGTAAATTAACCAGTCAAATAAATATTGTTTAGAAAAATATTTTATTCATAAAAATTGAAATGATTGCTGGGACTATTTTGATGCTCGGTGCTCATACCATGGAAGATGATCTAAATCAACGTTGCCTCCACAAACTATGACCCCGACCTTTTGCAGTGAAGGGTTAATCCTTTGAAGTTTTTCAGTCAGCAAAGCAGTGAGGCCAGTGGCAGAGGCAGCTTCAACCACAATCTAAAATAATAACATATTTTTTTTTTTTTTTTTGTGAATTTATAAACAAATTCTTTTAAATATATAACAATGTATGGATGAATTCTTGTATGGCCAGAAGTTTAGTTTAAGTTTTAAAATTTTGAAACTGCACTTAAAAATAAATATATCTAATATCAAGAAAAATTTTTTCAATATCAAATGCAGTTAAATACAAAAATATTTGTTACCGGAGTTTTTAAAATTTCAAACTTAGGAGTATAAAAAATTAAAATGCTTAATATTTTGAAGAAAGTGCAATAATTAATGTGAACAATATTGTGTATGATTTTTTTTTTTTTTTTGTATTTTTTCATTTAATAATTCAGGTATTGGTAACTGAAATATCCTTATTGTGTAAGTTGTTTAAAATTAGTTGTTTATATCAGTACTGTTATTTGATATGAAAATCTGAAGGATTCTGAGGTAAATTGCTACATTCTGTTTAACAAACTTTAATTTTACTCCATCAAAAGAGTAAACAATTTACTTGAACAGATTAACACTTTCATGTTCCATGTCCTTTCAGCATGTAGGCAATCATGGCTCTCCACTTCCTCTTGTCTCTCTCAATAACATTTTTTCTTTTTGTTATTTCTTCCAGACCCTATTCTGCCATCCACTTGCTTAAGCCCATTGACTATGTCACGCATTGCTTTCCCTTGTCCCTCTATCCGCCCTGTGAGTATCAGATTCTCCAAGCCTTCCTTTCTCATTACATGTCCCAGAAATTCCAGCTACTTCTTCCTGATGTTAAGCATAAGTGTCCTCTTTGTTTGCATCCTCTCCAAAACTTCATCATTGCTCACATATTCAGCCCATGGTATCCTTAGCATCCTTCTGTAGGACCATACCTCTGTTGCTTCAAGTCTCTTCTTCATCTTTGAGGAAACCATGCAACATCCACTGCTGTAAAGGAGGACAGATATCACATAGTAGTTCAATACTCTTTTCTTTGTTACCACACGAAATCCCACTGTCTCGTAATACTCTGCCTTGCTTTTGGAATGTGTCTTTGGCCACCCCAATACATCTTCAGATCTCAGAATCACATTTTCTATCCTCTGTCGAGACACATCTCAGATATCTAAATTTCTGCACCTGCTTGATTTTAGCCTGTTAATCGTATTTTGGGCTCATCTTTTTGCTGATGACCATGCATTCTGTCTTGTAGTCTATGCTTAGTCCCTTCTTCTTGCTCTCCTTTGCTATCTTCTGTAGGAGGTTTTGTAATTTCCTTTCTGTGTTTGCTAACAGTACTATGTCATCTGTGCATCTTATGTTGTTAAGATTGTGGCCACCAATGATGAATCCTTGTAGGATTTGCAGTTCTCTCAGAATTGCCTTGCTGTATAGGTTGAATCCACATCCTTGCCATACTCCCCTTTCTATTTTTGAACTCATTTTTTATCTTTATGCAGGTGGTTTGCTGCCAGTAGAGGTTTTTGATTATTCTAATGTCTTTCCCAAATATGTCAAGGTTGCAGCTCTAACAGATCTTTGTGTTGCACACCTTTGTTTTGCTCTTTCTAATAACATTCTGTGCATGATTATCGTGTTCCTTGTTCCGGTGTCTTTAACAAACCTGCACTGTTCTTGTCCTATCTCTGGCCAGATTATGCTATGTGTTCTATTCATCAGAATACGGATGATGAATTTTGTTATGTGGCTCATTTGGTGGAGTTCATATTCATTTGCACCTGGTTTCTTAGGCAGTGCTATGAAAATATGTCTGCTTAGGTCTTCCAGCATATACTCTACTGTTGTAGATTTCAGTTATTATTTCTATATAATCTTGTCTATGCTAAAAAACATCTAAGCTTATCAGCATCTCTGTTACAATTCCATCTGGCCCTGCTGCTTTGTTTCTGTTCAATTTGGCTAGTGCTGCTTCTACTTCAGTTCTTAGAATTTCAGGCCCATTGGTAATTCTGTGTATTGCTGGTTGTTTTCTTTCATCATGGAAGAGTTCTCTGATATATTCGTTCAAGCACTGAAGAATTTTTTCCTTCTCTAATATAAACATTCCATCTTTAGATTTTATGCAGCCTGTTGATGAGCATGTCTTCTGTTCTGTTAGTTCCCTTATTTGTTTATGCATATCTCCTTTGTTGGTGCTACTCAATCTCTCTATTTCTGCACATTTTTTGTTTAGCCACTCTTCTTTAGCCTGCTTGCATTTGGTCCTTATTTTGTTGTGTAGTTTTCTGTATTCCATTCTGTATCTTGGCAAAGTTTTCTGTCTCCTTTGCATCATACCGAGAATTTCATCTGTGATACATTCATTTTTTTTTTTTTGTCCATTTCCCTTTTAGATTATATCATTTGCTGTTGTCCCTAATGCTTCTCTTAGTATGCCCTATTTCAAGTTGCCATTTTATACCTCGTATCTTCTTTTTGCATTGTCCATATATTTTCCTTCAGGTTTGGGTCGCACAGTAGTTTGTTATATTGCAATTTGGATGCTGCATTAGACTTCTTCAGTTTACATATAACAGGGTGATAGTCACTTCCACAGTCAGCAATTGGGCAGGTTTTTCAGTGAACCATTGCATTCCCTTAATCTTTTGGTTACAGTTATCTAGTCAATTTGGTTTTTAGTTTCTCCTCCTGGGCTTCTCCATGTCCATAATCATCTTGGATGTTCTTGGAACCATATTCTTGGATATTACCTGATCATTGGCTGTGCACCATTGGATCCATTTATTCCACATTTGTTGCAGGTTCCTTGTCCAAATTTGCCAACTATCTCCCCTGCCCTCTCCCTGCCTACTTTGGCATTGAGAAATTTATAATTATGACTTCTTGTGATTTACAATGAGCCTTGGCGTCGTCTAGCATAGAGTAGAAAGATTCAATTTCTTCTTCCTTACTTTGTGCTGTCAGTGCATACACTATTATGATAGCTACATTGAAAGGCTTTCCTTTCAGCTTGATTACCAGAATTTTTTCAGATAATTGATAGTATCTCAAAACACATTTCTTGAATTCTTGATTATGCCTTTTTTTTTTTTTGTTGCTTTTCCCATTCTCAGTGATGAGGGGTCTGGGAATCATGGACAATTGTTAGTTTTGAATTCAGAGTTGTACTAGACCAGTTGCCAACCATGGCTAGAGAACTCCGTAAACTCTGCATTCCATACTAAGGGTGGGTCATATTTGTAGATTTCAAATCTTCATCTAACATTAAATGCCCAACCACATTAAATTTAAATGCCACAATGGAAGATTTTATATAAGTAATAAAAAAACAAATTCATTAAAACAAGATTACCATAATGTGGTCATATTGAAATAAGAATAACAAAGCAGTGGTTTTGATATTACCCCTATATGGTAATGTTTTGTTCGCTTCTTTTTACTTTTTCTTGTTTTAACAAGACAATCTTCAATTTTGTATCCCCCCTGCAAAAATATTTTGTAGCCTTAATTACATACTGCCGTATCTTTCTACACACCCACATTTACAAAGAATAAAAAACTGTCAAAAACTAAGTAACTAATATTTAATTAAAAAAAAAAAAAAATTGTTAAATTATTTTACAGATATTATCCTGGCAACAGAAAACCTGTTCACTCCTGAATTACTCTGACAAAAATTCACCAGGCAACTGAAAGTTGTTGTTGCTTTTCTATTTTTCTTTTTTTTAGTGGAGAAAACCAACCAACTTAAATTGAGCTACCTGGGCTGAACCCAGCTGAACCAGCAGGGGAGACAGATTAATCCAACAAACCATTAGTTTTTAAAACCAAGAAGATGTAAGTTCAATCCCTATGCAGGGTAACAAATATTCACCATAAAACAGAACTTTACAAATTTATTCAGAAAAATGTTAAAATAATTCAATGCTAGTTTACTTTATCAATATGGATGACCCAAATGCAAGTCTCTGGAGTTTATCACATAATTTTAATAAGATTAATTACTGCTATTACTATGACAGCAGCAATGTGTGCCTACTTCAACATAACCACCCAAATTATCATCTGATGATGGTGTTCACACACACATGCAACATGGACAGGTATCAACCCTGGATGGTGACAGTCTGTTTCATGCTTAAACACAATTATCACTGTTGATACTTTTATTATACTCTCCTTGATATTCATGACTTTTTCTTCCCACCCCCGTAAATATAGCATAGAGTAAAAACATTTTATTACACACACAAAAAGTGCTGAAAAATAGTCAATCTAACCATAGAAGCCCTTCCCAACAAAATTCTGATGGTTGGTAAGATTTCAGGAAGTGGGATGCGTTGAAGTTTTCAGTAGGTTTTCGTGTATGTGCATACATCTCCCCCTCCCCAAATATTCTTGTCTGTATAAATCTGTCTATTTTGATAACTGATATTGTCTCATTTAAAAGCCCCCAACCTACCAGAATTTTAAGAAATTCACTCACCTTTAATCTTTGAAATGCAAACTTCATCCCCTGAATGATCTCATCATCTTCCTAAAAGAAAAAAAAAAAACAAAGGCTGAATGCATGTGTGTGCACATACAAAGGAATCTCTCAAATGCAATGACTTTATGGGTTTTTTTTTTTTGGTTTTTTTTTTCTTTTTTTAAAGGGGGAGAGGAATCTTGAAAAACCTCCAAACCAACTCACCAAATGCTTTTTTCACATGAATAAATACAATGAAAATATTACAAAATATCTGAGATGTTAATTCAATAATTTCTCATTATAGAACACTCAGTCTGTCTATAGCAGAATATGCACTCCTATGACTCTACTCACTCCAGAGTCCATGGGTAGCTCTATTTAAGGATCCAACAATAAGCTGTGTTCATTTGATTATGCTGTCATGCCAGCTTCTTTGCTAGACCCCACTGCATTGTTTTCCTGCAACCAACCCTACAATATCTATTTTTTTAACAATCCTTTTTTGCTTCATTTGGTGTGACCATATATTTATTCTTTATTAATGGGACGACCAGTTGTGTCCAGAAGGTTATGTATCCTTAGTCAATTGTTGGTCATGAATCACATGACATGATTCTGGAATGTTTCCAATTTCTTCAGTGTTAGTCCAGTTTACACAATCCAGGCCATAAAACATGGAGAATATATGCATTGTTGGTCTTAGCTTTGATTTTGTAGAGAATACAAGAGAATGGTATGATTCGTTTTTTTTTTTGGTTTTTTTTTTTCAAACACTGACCCACCAAGCCCTATTCTATATTGAACAGGAACTGAAGCTTCATTCAAAGATGAAAGTTTGTGACCCAGATAGACAAATTGTTGAATAATACAATAAGTAAATACAATTTCTTGTCACCCTAGTAAAATATGGTATTCAATGGCAAAACCATATCGGCTACTTTTGTAATAAGAATAAAAGGTTTGTAAATATTTGCATACCACAGTGAGGACATCTCTTTCTGCATATTTAAGTACAATTGGCCAGGTTAATTTGCCAAGTTGCTGTCTGTTGATGCTGTCAGCCACAGTTGCAAAATTACGATCTGGGCCTTCCCACAACCAGTGACCTTTGTAAAAAAAAAAAAAAAAAAAAAAAAAAAAAATCAAATCAGGTTAGAATGTTGAAAAACTGCAGAGTATCCTATCGAAACCAAAAGAACTGTGCCCTCAAGAAATTACTGTCAGCATCTTTATAGTCATTTATTTCCAGCAAATAGCAATTTCTGATTTTTCCAAAAATGGGCCAGCACAGCAAGGCAACAATGTAGCAGTGAAAGTGTTAAGATTGATGTGCCTTTTCTGTTCACTGTCTGTTATGACTTAGTTTTTTAATCAATTAAAAAAGAAAATATTCTTTTAAATTAAATTCTTTTTGAGAATAAACAATATTTTTTAATGAAAGAATTCCCATATTTAGCATCAATTAGAGATGAATGCAAATAAAATTATTCAATTTAGAATTAGAAAATCTTTTAAGACAAAAAAAGGTGTCTCCTTAAATTCCAAATCTTGAGAAACCATTTTAAGGTGGCATTAGTGATCTATATTAGAAAAGAAGACCTAATTCTCTGTCCATCACATACTTTGTCTGCATGTAACTTTGCAGGTGTGTATATAATGAATATGCGTATGTCCCTGTGTGTGAATGACTTATATGTGCTTGTGACATTTAATATACACATACAAACACACATTTGACTAATTTTGAAGTAAGACATTCATCTCTTACTCTTGGCTGAGCAATAAAATCATAACGTTTGGAAATGAGATTTTATTTTTATTTTTTTTTTTTTTTAACTTTTCAGAAATGATTTTGTTTTGAATTTTTTTAAGTTTTTTTTATTTAAGAAATATTTTTAGTTTTGTCATTGACTTGAAATATACATGTATGCATACACACACACAAACACAAATTTAAATAAAACTGAAATGGACATTTGTGTCATGAGGGCTAATTTCTCATTCTGTTTGTGTTGTTCAAAATAGCCGAGAATTAGGAAGGCCATAGTTAGAGAGAGTATCAAAGGAACAGAAGACTAAGTAGAGGAAAGCAAAGAAGAGGTTTATTAAATACTCTTGCATAGAACGGAAAAACTTGAGTAAATCAACGACTCTTCAAATCCTACTCTAAATTGGCTACTTGCTATATTTATAAGTAGGAGCAGTCCATTGTCACAGTTGGAGGTAAGAGCAGGAGGTACTTACCCTGCAACAGTTTGGTAACACCAGGAAAAGATTATAAGCTTAAATGTGTGGTCTTTTGAAATGATTTTTATGAATCCTTTTGTATTTGAACTGAATATATTTGCTAATAAATGTATTTTAAAAGGACAAACAATTTTGATTGGAAATTTGACTATCTTGTTGTCAGCTAAGCAGAATGGCAGCTAGTTTACAAATAAAAGAAAAAGTAGCTTGTAGAGAACCATTTCAGAAAAAGAAACATTTTACCCATATAAATAGAAACTACTGATGAAAACAAGTAATGTTTTTAAATAATTCAATGTATGCATGTATATTACACACAGTTTATCTAGAGAGCATTTAGCCATAATATTAATGAAAAAAGTTAGCCTACATAAAACATTGGCACTTCCAGCCTCTTTAAAGTACTTATCCCAATGTCCCTTTCACTTTTCAAAATAGTCTGCTAAATACTCTTTGGGGATTGCCATCAGCTGTATTCTCCTTCATTTCATCCAGGGTCTGAAATTTCTTCCTTTTAAACAATTTTAAATTTGCCTGACGTTAAAGGAAACCAAACCTGAATCATTGGCAGGCTGGTATACCTTGATGGGGCAATGTTTTGCCAGAAAAGAAAAACCTGAATGAGATAAGAATAGGCAGGCAGTGTATGGTATACAAGCTCACTCAGTGGTATTTCACAGAGTTTTCATGTATTTGCAATAAAGTCTCCTCTGAACGAAGGATTATCTTGAGTGTCATTTGAATTCAAAAATTCATTCTATTCAGTAAATTTGCATCTTTTTCTTATTTATTAAATATCAGTAAAAGAAATTAAAAAAATATTTCTAATAATCTCACCGGCTTTCATACTTTTGGCAAGTTCTTTTCCTTTAGGTTCAACCATATAAACTGCAAAATAAAAAAAAAATATAAAAGAATAGAAATGAATTCATTAAATATAGATTCAAACTCAGTTTTTGAAATTTTGTTTTCTTTCAGGCAGGCAAGTCTTTCCCATTTGGAAAATCATGCAATACAATCAACTCCAATTTTTCCCTTATTTGTCTTTGTATCTTTCAGAGTTCATGACTAGAGTTGTATTCACAATGAATCAGGTCTAGGACCCCAACTCCAATTCCGTATATAAAGCATTTAAAGCATAAAGACCGTATTTGCATATAACCTATGCATTTCCTCCCATACCCTTTAAATCGTTTTTTAATTATAAAATTTAATGCTATGAAAATATATGAACAAATATTTTCAGTGGGAAATTGACACTAGAGAAAAAAAAACTTGTATAAAAGTAAATTTTATTGTGAAAATCTTTGTACCACTAATAATAACTTTATAGAAAATTCTGATATAGAAATTTTTTGTATAGAATTGGAAATATATGTGAAAAGTGACAGTGTGAAAAAATTCTTCACCTGTAAACAAATAAAATTGTAATAATTTGCATGAGAGACAAAAATAAATCTATTTTAAAAATAAATGGATTTTAATAAAGTTTTTGGTACAAGTTTTTTTTTCAAAATTTGAGACAAAAAAAGCTTGCAAACATTCCAAGTAGCAAATGAACAAGACTGTAACGTGGACCACAGCCAGCTTTCCACTGACTGGCCAGTGTTTATCCCCACATTGTGTCTCTATTCTCATTCACGTTGGTGTGTACTAAAAACTGGGAAAGGCCTGCTGCACATTCACAATGAAAAATGAAGAGTTGAGAAACAAGAACTTGAACCCTGTTTCCAATAAAATCATTTTATTCAGGGATTTGCTAGTTTAGTCTAGCTGGGTAGGTAAGGTAAGTGACACTTGGAATGATATCTTCTATGTTGGTCTCATAGCTCAGCTCTTCCTTCCTACCAAAGTACACATCACAATGTGTGGCTGTCAATATGAACAGGCAACACTGGAACTTCATGAGGGACAGATCAGAACTGACTACCTTGACCCCAACTGTGGCTATTAATATAGACCAGCAACTGGAAATCATCAATGTCCGGTTTAATTGTCACTTTACCCCAAATGCTTTCTTTTACTTGTTTCTTCTTTGATTAATTTAGTGCCATTTAAAGGACTTCATCTGAGAAAGATTGAGATAAAAATCACACTTCCTTCTTCTTTGAGTTTCTCAATCATAGTGCCACAAGACAAAACCTGAAAACAACAAGTGCTCGATAAAGGCTGAAGATTTGTGAAATGTTACAAGCCAAGGTATCTCTTCATTTGCATAAATTCAGCTCAGTGCATGGCAAATTCAAGTTTGGCTTTTTTGGAACTTTGAATATTTTCAATCTGCAGCTGGTTGAATTAACAGATGCAAAATTTACAGATCTGAAAGTTCAACTATGTTTTATCAAATAGAAAACCTTCTGACAAAGAGAAATTTTCAGTTCAGATATTAATTCTTTGCAACAGCATTTATAAGATTTTCATGTACCTTTGATGTGGGGTTTAGATAAGTTAGTTGCTAAGGCAATGCCAGCAGAAAGCCCACCTCCTCCCACTGGAACAACAATGGCTTCCAAGTCTGGAACCTGCTCCAAGAATTCAACAGCAATTGTTGCCTAATAAAAGAAAAAAAGAGAAATAGTTTGAATATTTTATTTCTATAAAGAATAAAAAAAGCATTTTTTCGCATTAAACAATCTTGCAGAACCATGTACCGAAATGGGTATAATCATACTTATTATAAAACCCAGGTTGTGTGTGTGTGTCTGTACGTTTATATATTGGATCGTATTTCCTACATTTTTCAACCAATTTCAACAAAACTTCACAGGACTACGTAAAATTACCTTGCGGTGGTTCTGACAGCGCCAAAAATTGTAAAAACACAATTGTTTTTGCTCAAAATCAATTTGAAAACACAATTAAGAGGCATCGCTGTTGAGAATGAAAGAGGAACAACTCATATCGAGTTATACTTATTATAAAAGCCAGGTTGTTTGTGTGTGTATGTTCGTTTATATATGGGATCGGATTTCCTACATTTTTCAACCGATTTCAACAAAACTTCAATTTTTTTGGCAGGTAGTGTTTCTTATTGTCTTGCACACTTTTTTTTCTTTTTTACATTCAGAATGCTTTAAAAAATTCCATTTACAAGACAATTGTTTATAATAAAATTCTATTCAATCGGTAGACTCATAACGATTGAAAACAATGTTTTTGTTTGTGTTTGGGTTTGACCAATTTGTAAAAAAAAAAAAGAAAATAATTAAGACATGCATGTCCATCAATCTTATACAATAATCTTTGTCAATTTTATTTTTCAGTCTTTATGACGGTCGATACTTGATCTATCTCTTACTATTACATCCCCGGGCAACGCCGGGCTCTACTGCTAGTTATTAATAAATGTGTTTACAGCCATTTTCTGTTTGTTGCAAGCACTATGGGGGACCTATGAGGAAAAAAAACTCACCAAAGTAATAATGGCCTGTGAGATTCACTTGCTAACCAGTGCTTTACTGCAACATATGCAAAATAGATATATTTATTTTCATTAGTTTGGCACAGAGTAACAAATGTAGGCCACCTAGTGTGGATCAAACTCACTACTATAGTAATGGTTTCTGAGATAAACTTCCATGCTATTTTTCCATGATAACGTGCATTTGAATCTAGCTGCAGTTACAGCAATTTTAAATGTTTAGATGCAGCTACAACAATTTAAAATAAAAATACATGAGAAATGATTAGTTTAAGTGAATATTTGAAAGTGATTAGATTTATTTTTCCATTTTTTTTTTTTTTTTTTTTTTTTAATTCTAGTCAAGATTTGAATTTGCATGGAAGAATTGAAAAACTTCTCATTTCATTTATATCCAACTTTATTTGGACACTCACATCTACTTTGTACAGGGTGTCCCAAAAGTCATGCTACAATTGTCAAAAAATGTACACTTTGGAAATAGCAACTGGAGGAAATTTGCATGACATCATCTTCCATAATTAGACCAATAAAATTTCCTAATAATATATTTTCACATACAGAAACATTATTTAATTTGGTAAATAAATATAAAATTTACAAGGCTTTCCAATAGTAGTGCAACTTTTGGGACACACTGTATTTTTGCTGTTGTCATTACAGATGTCGAAGTTGCTCATGAAAAAGGGCAAAGTGAGCCTCCCAGATCTTGTAATTTTGCAGCCATAGCTTCTGTTAAATTCAAAAGTTCCCATCCCAAATTATGAATCTGAAGGCTGAGTTCAAAACTATAAGAACTGGGAGGCTTTGTAAAGCATTATTTGCAATTATTTATAATAAATGACTGCACTGAGTGGGACACTCCTTGCTGTTGTCACTAGAGCTGATCTTGACATAATCTTGCTGGGACATTTGTCACCTAGTATAGTGGTCCCTGTGAATTTCAAGAACCTGCTGCTTATACTTGATGTGAGTTACTACAGCACATCAAGTTACTTGCTGACCCAAATTGTGGCACTATTAAAACTCACTAGGATATGCAACTCTGAAAGACAATGGCAGGTAGTTAATACTAGTATCCTTCAAGACAAGGAAAGTGCTTTTGAAATATTTAATGTAACAAGTCTATCAATCCCCAAGTGGGTAACAATTGCTAAATACAAGTTGGAATCAGAGATTTTAATGCAGTAAGGACTAGATTCATTCTACTGACACCTGGTGAGGATCTTGAGTTTGCATATCAAGAAAGACAATATCTATGAGTAGTACCAATCTATTGTGTTTATTTGGAAAACAAAGTATCTAAGGTGTGGAATTGTAAGTCAACTGAAACAATAAACCTTAGTTGATCATTTTATGGTTACCTATGAGATATTCTGTAGTTGGGAATGCAGTCAGTTTCCTGTGCTATTATCAGACAGAAGAGAAAGTTGAGACGACAGGTTCCTTCTTGGTTCTTATGGATATGCTGGTTAGGATCATGGAAACATCTGATGAAAGAATTCCCAAGTGTGAAGGCTTATAAAATAAAAGAATTGCTGTAATTGGGGAATTGAATCAACTTGCTGCCATTGTTAGAGAAATTTAGCAACAGGTAAAGTGTTCAGGCAATAAGTGTGGTCACATCGTTTTCCTTATCCAGGACTGTATAGGCATCATAAACATGGTAGGGTTGTGAGTGGTGTTTCTTTGGGGAATTTTGGATGAAAAAAGAAAGCAATTACAGAAAACCCTGATGATGTGAAAAACAAACAGATTAGTGTAATGGAAACAACCTTTATGAATGACACAGGTGAACAACTGGTAATAAGACAAGTTGTACTCCAAATTACTTCTTTGAACAAAGAGGAGCAATTGATACTGATGACCCTAAAGGTGATTGTCACCTAAACATACATGACAGAAGGTTATTTAAGAGCACTTAAACAAATGTTTTGCATGTGTAAAGCAGAAAAAAGTAAAAAGAGAAGAGTAATTGCACGTTCTGTATGTTTTGTTTTTTTTTTAAATTGATATGTTTATGAACTGAAAGGTGAATATTACATGTATGTATGGACTATGAGATTCAAGCACTGAGAAAAAGTCTTGAAGAGATGCATACATTGTATGTGGAATGAAAATAAAAAAAAAATGGCACTTTAACCATACATAAAGGTACTGTCTTGATTTTACAGCATAAAAAGGCTTGATTTTTAAAGTGTATAAAGAAAGGTTTTCGTATATTGAATCATAAAAGAAATAGCATTATTGCCATTTTTGGGGTTGAAATAATTATAAAAAAAAAAAATGGGGGATGATTATAAAATACCATTTGATAAGAAGCAAAACACTAATTTTTGTAAAACATTTTGTTGAATTTTGATGATACTAAGATTTAAATTTAAAATATTTTTCAAGTTTCTTTTTTAAAAATTTCATTTTACTCCAAAAACTCATTCTGGAAATGAATTTGTCATAATTTGGATCTTTTTTATTTCAACAATTCAGAAAAATTAGTCAACTTGTTGTATTTTGAATTTGCAAATGTCTTTTGTCTTACCTGGCCAGCAATTACATCATAATTCAAATGTCTTACCTGGCCAGCAATTACGTCATAATTGTCAAAAGGTTCAATGATTTCATAGTCTTTTTCTGTTGATAAACGCTTGCATATCAGACGCCTAAAAAAAAAAAAAAAAATGAAAGAAAAAAAATAGTGAAAAATTACAACATGCACATATTTTGTACTTCCTCTGCTTGATAAAAATTCTACATTTGCCTTTTTTTTTCTTTTGACAACTATTGTTAAAAGGATATGCCCAAGTGACAATTTCTTGTTACTTTTAAACCTGACAGGAGGATTTTTTTAAAAATAACAATAGTCTTAAAGCAAAATATTCTAGGGCAACCAAAAATCAAAATTACAAAAAAAAAAAAACAAACATATTTCAGCAGATTTCATCAACTATGAATGAGAATTTAAGATGTAAGGCTGAAATGAAAGCAATAATTGTTACAATGTTCTAAAAAATGTTTGGAAAATTCCATAAGTACAGCTTCAAAAAAAGTTAAAGTTCATTATGTTGCAGTTTTTCAATTTGGCCCCAAAATATTTAAATGTAACTAAAATTATTTAAATGTTTCCCAAAATGAATGGTTTCTTGCACAGCTCTCAACTGTGCAGAAGAATTTAATTATCTGAAGAGTAAAATCTCTAGCTGCAAAGGCGATGTAAAACCAGACATTGGTAAAACCTAGGTTACCACCAACAAGTTATCTTTCGTGTAGAAATCTAGACTTCCAGACAACATTCTATTTTAAGCAACTGTTACTACTGTTCTATTGTATGACTACTCAGCACCTCAAAACTGGAAAGAGAATTACGCTAAGAGTGGCTTTGAATGTCACTTGAAGAATTGTCTGACCAATGAGTGATTGTATGAGAACCTTGGTCCAGTATCAGACATCATCAAAGATCAAAGATCAAAGGAGAGCTAAAAACATAAAATTTTATTAGAAGTTCTTTTGTGGGAAGTGCAAGCAGAAGGCAACAAGCAAAGACCTATATTAAGCAGATTTGTGACAACATAAACTGCAATCCTTCTGACCTGCTGAATATGATGAACAATAGAATTGAATGTCAACAGAGAGTCATAGGAATCTGGCCAAGCAATATAACCAGATGATAATTCTATAATTTGTTTTCATTTATGAGGGGGTGCTGAAAAATTGAAGACAAAACCTTTCCAGCAGTTCAACTGGAACAACTATTATGGAACAGAGGCATTTTTCTTCCTCCTATAAAAAAGTAAAATAAATATAATTCAAAATAACCTTGTTCTATGACTGTCATATAAATAATTCTCCATATGTCTGTTCCAAGATTTAAACATCAACTTCAGAGAGAATTCTTATATTTTTTTGCATATTTTGGGCAGGTAAGGTTTCTCTACTTAGCTTAAATGACTTACTGATCATATTTGGTGGCTAATGTTATTTTGTAAGATCCACTTTCAACACCTTCAAGAATTTAAGAGCAATAACAGGATGGAAGAAAGAAGTAAAAAGAAATTTGATTGGACAAGGCCAGTTGCATTCCCAAAGAACTCAGCTTTCAATGGCTTGTGGGATCAACAAAAAAATACCACAAATTTTGTTCTTCAAAATGACTTTTATGTATGTGACTAATTTATTTAAAATCAATGATAACTCACCAGTTTGCCATTACCATCTTCTGAGCTTTGCTGAATGTTACCATCTCATTAGTGGTGAAGGTTAACAGATGCACTGGTCCTTCTTCATGTGTCATGCTTGTCCAGCCATTTTTAAAATGCTTTAAATGTGCTTCAAAAATGTATTGCTGGTAATAATTTTTCTTCAAAAAATTTATTACTGGAAATAAATTTTTCACAAAAATGTATTGCTGGTATTAAAACCTATTTTTTACACTTTCATGGTGTTTTGATCCCAATTTGGGGGTTAACTATTTGTCCATAGCTGGGACCCTAACAGGTGCTACCACCACTGGGTCAGGGTGGATCTGGGAACACCAGCAATTAAGAGGTGGCTCCACTCTCCTTAAAACCTCCTGATCAGAGGCCTTGATATTGGATGTAGTTTATCGTCATACTCAGGATACCCAGGACGTTAGAAACTCTAATTTCATTTTATTTAATTATATATTCACCATTACTCGCAATAACTTGGTGCCACTTATCAGGCAGCTTTTCAATACCTTTTGAGTAAAATTACTCAGTTTTTGATGTGAAAAACTTTTTTTTAAACTTTTGCACCTGGTTTCCAGTAAAGTTTTTTTTACAGCAATCAAAAAAGTCAATAAACAGTTCGTGCAAGGTCAGGTAGAATGTGCAAGGTAGAACAGATGAAATGAGTTCCAAATTTTTTTCCTCTATTCTTGCTTTATGTGGCCTTACATTGTCATGGAGGAGAATAACATTTTTTTTTTTAATCCACTGTGTATGCTGCCATTGCCATGCAAAATCTCAGGCATGTTAGTGGACTCCAAATTTATTCTTATCTGCCACATCTGATTAAGTTAAAATGTCATCCATCATTTCAAATGGTTCCCAAAAATGACTCAATATATATATGTTATGAAGTAGAGTGGTGTAGACTCTGAAATAGACGTTGTCAGGTCAACAGATGGTAGCTTGACTGGCATTCACCGTGGTGTTCTGCTTTTATAGCAGTACCTTATTTACATACAATACTACACCACCCAGAACCAAAATGGCCTTATGACTGTCATCGAACTTTGACCTCTAATTATTCTTGGGAATTTAAACTGTCTTTCTTGGTGTGTATCTTGATTTCTTCTTATAGAGGACTGAGGTCAGAGTTCATTTTCCTTTTCTGACTCCTTGTCAGATTTCTGGTCATTAACACCCATTGATTGTTCAGTTTCATTCTTGGATTCATTGGTCACCTCCTCGCCATCATGTTCTTCACCTTCAGATTCTTCATCTATTTCTATATCCTCGGGTTTTTCAAAGATATGAAGGCCTCCAATGACTAAGTCTGGAATGGAGACTGGCTGGGAGTGGCTTTATTGTTGTTTTGGCAATTCTAGTCAAAAGGAAAGGCATATGGATAATTTGACCCCACGATGGTGTAAGGTTGAAATGGAGACACCATTGTTTTTGAAATCTTGGTTATGGAATGATCTACAAGACAAAACCCAGTAAGGAAAAGTCTGTTGCGAGATAAAAATTTGCGAAAGAAAGCAAGGTTGGAGAATTGTAATATTTTTTTTTTGCTACTTATCAACAAGTGTCACGGGTTGAAGTTGCCAAAAAGTCTGTCATGAGTTCAGCTGGTGAATGCCTGACTGAGAAAATGGGGTATGGGTTGAGGAAATATTGTTGATGAAAATTTTGAGTGCTGACTAAAATTAATAATTTAAGTGACGCCTGCTCCCTTATACAATCTAGAGATCAGATTGATCAGAGTGACAAATGAAATGAAAGGCCTAGGAAGAACGGCAAGGGAGGCAGAGGAATTGCCTACACCCCTTGGGCAATATTAGTATAAGGCACCAATAAGGTGAATCAATTTCCTGCGACCACTACTCATAGAAGAGGGGATCTCCCCAAAATTGGGCATGTAATTAATCTCCTTGAGCCAGACAACAATGGGCTCTTGTTGGCAATTAGGGGTATCATCAGAACCCCAAGCCACGTCAGACCCCATGCTGGTTTTGGGCGAAGATTCATATAAGTAAGAGATTGAAATGTCCCAGATGAAGAACGAGAGACAACTGCTTCACCTGATCTCATGGCTTCCTGCCTGAAGAAAACCTCCAACATAAGGCCTTGTGCCACAGCCTTTTCAGATTTAGCTAAACCAACTGAACTGTCGCACTCAACTTATGAATTGGGAATGGTTGATATTTTCTGCATGAAGAACTAAAAATGTTTTTAATATCAAGAATTAAACAACCTCTGTACAAAGAACATATATAAAAACATTTTCTTTTATTTAAATTATTTTTTTTTTTACTTGTGACTTCACTCTGCCTGGACCAAACCAGTATAAAAATTCCTCTCAATGATTTGATTCTTGCTAGCCTTATGATCAAAACCAAACACAATGTGGGATAAGACAAAGATTGGATTGAAGAGATCAACTCAATGATCTGCCACAGGAATTGGATATCGGACAGACTGGCAGGTGAAATTGTCCTATAGCTTAACAATAATCTTGGTAAGTAACTCTCTATATTATCATTAGATGAGGAAAATGTTTTTAGTCCCATTTTCACAATCTGCACCATTCTTTCTGCAATTCCATTTGATTGTGGGTGGTGTTTTATACAGGACGCATCCAATACACTTTAGCCATGAGCACAAACTTTCTGGCACGTTATTGGAGACCAAAGTTTTAGGTAACCCATTGCTTGAAAATATTGTTCTTAATATTTGTTTTACAGTGATGGCTTTTCTGTCAGCAACCTTAATTGCTTTGAGCCATCCTGAAAATGAGTTCACTAAAATTAAAAATGGCCCCATGCCTTTAATATGGACACGATCCATGTCTACACAAACCCATGGTTCTTTTTCTTTAGGCTACAAGTGAATTTTGTTTTGCTGAAAGTTTTTTTTATTTCAGCAAATTTTGGGCACCTTTTTACATAGTCTTCTACATCTCAAGAATCTCCTGGACAGCATGCTTATAATTTTAATCGTATTTGTGTTACTTTTATACTATAATGTACATCATCATATACACCTTTTATTACTTCTTTTCTTTAACTTTGTGGAGGGTATTATAATATCTCCATGGCATATTATGCCTTTCTCTACAGTTAACTTATGCCTTGATTCTTTGTAGGATCTTTATGACATTGAACAATTGTGCCATGTGTTTCTTTTTATTCTGTCTGAAATTCTACTTAACACTGGATCTTGTATGGTTTACATTCTGAGACGATTTAAGGGTGACACATCTATTTCAACCCAGTACCTTATTTTATCTTCTGAATTTTCAAACGTTTCTAATTTTTTACTATAAAAATTTAGTCTGGATAGTACATCCACATGTGGAATAGTCGCCCACTTTATGTATATGATGTTGAAATCAAAGGCCATGAGTTTTATAGCCCATCTTAAAATTCTAGAAGATGTGACTTTTGGTAATTCTTTTCTGGGGTTGAATATAAACTCTAAAGGTTTGTGATTTGACTTTAACAAATATTTTCATGCTAACAAAAAATTTCAAGCTCTTTCTGTGCTCTATACTATTGCAAATGCTTCTTTCTCAATATTTGAGTAGTTAGCTTCAGCTGACATTAATTTTCTCAACGGGTACATTATTGGATGACCTTCTTGAGATAAAATTGTGGCTTCAACATGTTCAGTTGCATCCATAGTCACTTCTATTTTTGGATCAAAGATTTTTGCAATCACTTTTCTTATTAGTGCCTTTTTTAAGCTTTCAAAAGCAATATTTTGCCTCTGAGTCAATTTTAATTCTTTTTCTGTAATTCTGCAAATGGTTCTATTATGTTGCTATATCTATGTAGATTTTAATCCTATTTGTATTACTGTTATACTACAATGTACATTATCATATACACCTTTTATCACTTCTTTTCTTAAACTTTGTGGGGGTATTATATCTCCATGGCATATTATGCCTTTCTCTACAGTTAACTTATGCCTAGATTCTTTGTAGAAAAATTGGTCAATCCCAAAAAGGATTCTAATTCTTTTTTATTTTTTGGTGTAGATACTTCCCTATATTTTATTTATCAGTTTATTGTCTGGTGAAATTCCTTCTTTAGATATTTGGTATCCCAAATATGATATTTTGTCGCAATTTAACTTACATTTATTGCTATTTATCACCATACCAGCATTTTTTAATTTGTTTAAAACTTGTCTAGTTTTAAATCCTCTTTACTGCAAGTGCCTATGCCTATATCATCTTGATATATGATTATATTTTTTTATCCCCTTTTTAAATTGCCGTTTGAAAAATATGACTTGAAGTCTTTACTCCAAATGAAAGACAAGTCCATCTTAGTAAGCCTATTGGGTTATTAATTGTAGTGACTTCTTTAAATTTTTCATCAATTTCTATTTTGTTTCATGCCAAATTCAGATCATTTTGGTAAGATATTTAATTCCTGTTAATTCATGAATTGCCATTTCTATGTTAGGTAAGGGGAATAAATCAGAGCATATCTGATGATTCACACCTACTTTGTAATCCACGCATATCTTCAAATCACCATTGGGCTTTTGTATCACAACAATTGGTGAAGCTCAACTGCTACTACATTGGGTAACTTTCTCCACTATTCCTTGTTTTACTGTTTTCTTTAGTTCTGCAACTACTGTGCAGTTCCTCATTTACATACCAGATTACAATATGGAAAACTAAAAATTCCTGGGTATAACTAACAAGCTCTTACTCACAAAAATCTGATCTTTGTTCAAATATGCAGAAAAGTTTTCAGCACCTCCTACATCTACAGAAAAGAGAGATAGGGTTCATGTATAGGCGTGACAGTTGCTTATTTTCCCCAGTGTCAAAAATTAGTTATCAAACTCAAGTAAAAAAAGAATATTCCAGCACCCCCACCCTCAAAAAAGAGTTGTTTTTTTTTAATCCAGTGTGTACATTGTCATGCAAAAACTAAGATATGTTAGTATACTCAAAATTTATTCTTAACTTCTGCAAAGGATTAAGATGGTATATTTGTGATTATAATTAGTACCAAAAGATGGTTATTACTTATGATTCAGCCAAAGCATCTAGTTTCAGTTAGTGTTCACACAAAATGTAATGGAAAGTGAAGAGTTTGTTTTAAAAATAAATAATTATGTTAAATTTAGTCCAAGTGTACCTGTCTTGAGGAGTTGCAGGACTTAGTACCACATCAGCGCCATATGTCTTTATAGCATTTATCTTCACAGCTGCTGTATTTTCAGGTACAACCACAGAACAAGGCAGCTTTAATTGCTGGGCTGCCCAAGCTAGAGCTTGACCATGATTACCACTACTGTGAGTCACCTGAAACAGAAAGAAAAAATCCTCAGGAAATAAGATGGATTTTCCTTCAATCAATAAACAGCGATTACATCACATGACCATTACAAAGATTGCACCAAATTCTGGAATGGTCAATGGTTTAGTAAATTTTAACCAATTTTAAAAATGGTTGGAGAGATGACCACTTGAAATATATCAGGACTTAAGAAAATTGAGAAGTTTAATTCTTAACCCTAGAACACTAATCATCAATTAAAGTTACACCACTATTAACCATGGGTATATCATACCCGATTTTGAAAATATCAAAAAAAATATTAAATATAAATCATTATTTGAAATATTTTACATGCAGGCACTTTAAACTTTGTACTTTGAGTTAACATTAATAGGAACTGAAAAACATTATTTAGGTAAGAATATCAGTTACTGAAAATTGCAATTAAAAATAGGAAAATTTATGCTGGGTACTATATACCCATGGTCAGTGTTCTAGGGTTAAAAACTTTTATGGTCAAAACACCACTTAAACACTTCATCAGTTAGGCAAATGACAATTTTTTTTCAGTTTTGCATCCCTTAGTGCAAAATGATGAGAAACAAGAATTTATAATTGCTTCAAATAATAAATGTTGATTTGCGAAATTTACATTAAAGACAAAATAAATAAAAAATTTTGAACCCATTGTAGCTAATCGAGGGGGCTTAACTGCCTTCAAATTCAGAAAAGAGTGATTTTTATAAAGTGTTTGCACAACAGAAATGCATTATATAAATTTGTTAAAATAAAATGGTCAACAGAATTCTGCAATTCAAATTCATTATAGTTTCTTATTTCAAAAGGCATAATAATTTCACAATAAGTGACGTTCACTGTATTTTTTTGATTTCAACTATAAGACATGAACTAGTTTTCACAAATTTTGGTCATTAATATTTTTGGTAATAAAGAAATGGATTCATTCACATGAAAGAAGAACCTTGAGAAATGATAAGATAAAACTTATCAACCATTTTCTTGAAATTAAATTTGAGTCATTATCAAAACTGATAACAAAACTGGGACTTATTTATAAAACACAATTTGCCTGATAAAGAACAGAATGTGTGCATATGTGGCTGAAAAAAAAAAAAAATCAGTCAGATTTGTTACTAAACTATGTCTTTTTCAAAACTAATTTTCTAGCTTGCTTCAGGCCAGAGAGACTTTCTTTTCCTAAAGGGTTTTATCACATATAGTATTATCAAAATTAACGAATTACAGAATAAAGTTTCCTTAAAAATTTTAGCACTTTTTGCTTAATCTCACGGACGAGGGAGAAATTTTCCTGGCCTAAGAACAAAGAGAATTCTTGTTGGGAAGCGAGAATTATCGAGGAACCCAAACCACGTCAGGCCCCACACCAGGTTTTGGTCGGTGTCTATATAAACGAATGTCCCCAGGCAGTTTGGCAGTTGATTTGGAGTTGGAGTTCAGTTCCGTACAGAGTCAGAGTGTTGCCTCACAGAAGCTGACTGAGAAATTCTATGTCCTTTTGACTTCGACTTCCTACCAAAAGCAAGTTATATTGACAAACGACTTAAGATACCAAAACTCGCTTAGGAAATGCAAAAGTATCACAAATCCATAGAAACGGGCTGGGAGAGAAATACGCTCCTGTATATAACAGATGGATAAAGATAATTTGTTATTTCTCAACATATTTGAACCTCTTGAGTTTTGTTTTATTGCTTCTTTTACTTACGCTTGTGCGATATCACCTTCACCCCAGATTCAGCTTGCACTACGGCCTGACACCTGATTGATTTCATCTACCTAAGATCAAAGTCACAACATGGATAGGTTAGACTTGAGATCAAAGTAGTTACTTCAGTAACCAGACATTGGAAGTGAGCTGGGAACGACAAAGCTGGTATCAAACCGGGCACGACCAGATCGATTGGGACACAGGCTGGTGGCAGTGACAATGAGTCAATAACGAATGCTGGTGGAAGAAACCTTACAGCTTCGCACTGCAACTGGGAGTTGACCACAGGCCAACAGTGCAGTGTCACAAAGTTTCCTTAAGAATTTTAGCACTTTTTGCTTAATCTACCTTGCTGGCTAATAGTAATCTTAGGGCTGGTGGATTTTAAATTTTAGGCAAATCCCAATCTAAAATATTGATAGTTGCAGGCCTTTTACAAAACTAATTTTCTAGCTTGCTTCAGGTCAGAGGGCCTTTCTCTTCCTGAAGGCTTTTATCATATATTCAATAGTAATATCAAAATTAATGCATTACAGAATAAAGTTTCCTTAAAATTTTTAGCTCTTTTTGCCTAATCGACTTTCTTGGCTAATGGCAATCTTAGGGCAAAAATGCAGATATGCCGGCTGGTTTTTTATTAATTTCACTGTTTAAGAAAATATAAAAGAAAACATTGCTCGTAACTCAAACACATGTAGCTACTAAAAATAATAATTATATTAACATATACACACACACACACATGCATATATATATATATATATATATATATATATGCACACACACACACATATATATAAATGTAGGAAAAATATTCATTAAAATCATACACAGAAACTTCACCATATCAAACACTTTCCACAAGATATTCAGCAAAAACAATAAAAATCAGCTACAGTTGCATTGAAAAAATGATACAAATAATAAAAAGCACAACAGGAAAACAACAAATAAACCACCTGAACAAATTAAACTCACGTGTAACTGCAGAATATAGAACAAATGTCCCTTAAATGGCAATTGCTTGCATAACAATGTAATTTACCAAGCCACTGTAAAATCAACAAAGGAAAAATATACATAGGAGTAATTGAAGGAACCTGGAAACAATAATACAACAGACTATCCACAATGCAATACAATAGCTTACCCACAATGCATCACTGACCTGTATATATAAATAGTTGTGCAAAAACACAACGATTATACATATGCACTAGTGATGGGACAATACCAATATTTGTACCGATTACAATAGACTTCCCAATACTGTTCTAAATTTCCAATTCCGATACATACAAAGATTGAAATTCATTATTTTCAGGCCTTACGGTTGGTTTGGGAAACTTAATGAACAAAGTACATTTATTAATAAAACATTTGGTAGAAAAATGGATACAAAAGCTTATGAAATAAAGTTAGATATCCTTTTTATTTAAAAAATTGGGTAAGAGTTTAAACAATAAAGAGAAAAATTACTTTGAGTAAATAACTTAAGTACTTAACTCATCCTAAAATTCTTAACTTATAATGTAAGAACATTATCATGTTTCCTGTTTTGCCTTTCAGCTGATATCTTTTTGGTAAGTAAATGTTACCTCCAATACTAAAGAACCGTTCACTTTCACCAGAAGAAGGAGGTGCTGATAGATAATTTCCTGGCTAAAAGTGCCATGATGGGAAATTCATTTTTATTGCAATTCCACCATTGGAAAACATTATCTCTTTTTATATTTTTTAATGCAGGGTGATTTAAAGTAACTCTCTATTTTATGTAATTCCCGCCAAAGGAAACATAAATGCCTGCCACCATCCTTACAGGATCCTCTGGATTATGTTCTGATCGAAACTCCTTATATGGAATTTTAATTTGTACTTAAGAATAATTGAAAATTTGAATTTTAAAATAAAATTTTATATAATAAGTTTTTAATTTTTTTCCTAGATTTTTAAATGCAGACAAGGCTTTTCTCTTTTTCATAAATTAAAAAAAATAATAAAAATTGCCTTGAAAGAGAGCCTAGCAGAACAACATGAATTCATTTTGTGTTTATATAATTTTGATTATAATTATTAAATTAATAATTTATAATATTAAAATGGGTAAATTAACAATATTTAAAAAAATAAAAAATTTATTTTTAATTGAAACAGACTTTAACAAACTTTACAGAAAGTTCAAGGACTGAGTAGAAACTTGCACATACATTTTTTTTTTTTTTTTTTTTTACACAAGTAAAATAAATTTACATCATACTTAGGTGTTATGATTTGTAGATTTTAGTTTCATTGACATTTTAAAATCAATAAATATTTATATCTTTTTATCATTAGTACCAGGAATGGAAAATTTAGTTTTAAACAAAAGAAAACTCAATAGAATCATTTTTAGAATTGGAAATTAGGTTAAAAATTCTCTGATTCCAATGCTGATTCTGATATTCCAAAAAGTACCGATATTTCCAATTTTCGATTCCAATTAATTGTCCCATCACTAATATGCACCCACAAAAACCCAAAATGTTGGCACAACAAACAGGCAACCAAAAGCATTCTGTTTGGGCATACCCAACCTATTCAAACTGTTGATGATCATGGCTTTCATGGTTCTCTACTTTTTTTTGTTGCTCTGAGTAATATGTGTTCTTTCAACCTCCCACCCCCTGCATTTTGTCTTTATGGTACTTATTCCACCATCAATTTTGTTCAAATTTGTCAAGTAGGTTGCTTTTGTTTGATGCCCTTGCCATTGATGTGTCTTGTGTGTGTTAAATTCTCCTAGCTTTCTCTCCTTATTATGTATCCCAAACTTTTCAGCTGTCTCTTTCTGCTTTTACCAACAGTTTCTTTGTTATTCCCAGTCTCTTTCAAACAAAAGTTTATTAAAAAGAAAATTTAAACCCCAATTCCCTATATTGTAACATTTACATATTGGTAATAAAATTCCCTATATTGTAACATTTACATATTGGTAATAAAATTCCCTATATTGTAACATTTACATATTGGTAATAAAATTCCATATATTGTAACATTTACATATTGGTAATAAAATTCCCTATATTGTAACATTTACATATTGGTAATAAAATTCCCTATATTGTAACATTTACATATTGGTAATAAAATTCCCTATATTGTAACATTTACATATTGGTAATAAAATTCCCTATAATGTAACATTTGCATATTGGTAATAAAATTCCCGATATTGTAACATTTACATATTGGTAATAAAACGTTCATTATTTGTACATTTTGATATTTAGGAGG